ATAAACACTCGAATTTTCACAAACACCAACGCATACACGATGTGGAATTTTTGGAGAAAAATTTTTCCTTCTCTCTATAAGGGAATTTCGGCTAGCCCCCTTCAAGTTAGGTTAAAAAATTGTCTCGCGCAATTTTTCATCATATCTTATTTAAAGAGTAGAAGTCAAACTTCTAGAAGGAATCAAATCTCTATCTCCTATTTGAATTTCGAACAAAAATTCTATTTCCCTCTATCCATTATGGCCGGCCATTCTAAAGGGATTTTATCCCTGTGTAGGCACCAATATCAAATAGGGAATGAAGAGAAAATCATCATTTATCCTGTAGTCCAATTTTGACTCAAATTCAAATTCCAATTTAAGTCAAACTTAAATTAATTTGAATTCTAAATTGAACAACTTATCAAATAAGTTTAAATGGATAAATCTAGATGTGTTCAAATTCAAATTTAAATAATCACATTATTTAAATAATAATTAATTCTCAATTAATTATTTTCGGGTGTTTAATTTTAGAATTCCGTAATTCTAAAATTTCCATTTTGCCCTATGTGTCTGGTAGAATTACTAGGACGACGCGGGGACTAATGGACCTATAATCCCGAGCTCCAATAAAATTAATAATCAATTAAACGCTTTAATTAATTATTTAATTCTATTAATTCCAATAGTTACTCCACTATAAACTTGGAATTGCACTCTCGAAATTATAGACATAAATTACTTCTAAACTGTGAAGTGTCCATTTGATATAGTCATTGCATATAGATCAATCCTCCATAAATAATTCATAATTAGAACTAGGTAAAATCCGTTGACCTCTCTAATTAAATCTTTATTCTTGAGTACCATTGATTCTCTAATGGAGAGTGATTCATAAAACACATTCATGAATCGGAGCTCTTACTGGTCCAAGTACCGAATCAACCCTCAAGAGAATTATTTATCTACTTCTTTCTCAAGAAGGAATGGATTCCATCTCGTATAATAACATTTCCGGCTACCTACTTCATCATATCTCCAAAATACAAGGAATAGGATTTAGGATCTCAGAATCCGTACCGAGTAAATCAGAAGACACAAATCCATAAATAGGAGTTTGTTAAGAACTCAGGATTAAGATCATTCTACATATGACCATCAGTAGACTCAATTAGAATTTCTATGTTTAACAGAAATTATTAGAAATTCATATTGTGTATGTATTCTTGTTCCACATAATCTCATTCTGTGAAATACACTCATTCAATATCTCATCATATTAACAGTGTGGATAACACCGTTCCATTCTAAATGAGAATGACATGTATTAATAATGTTTTAATTAAAGATTCCGAACTTTAATTAAATTCATTATGAACATTGCTTTTTGATTATTATGCTTAAACATTATCCTCTTGTCTATAACACTCATATACAATGTTTAAGGTTACATAAATAATCACAGAATTTTCATTGATATTCATAAAATATTCACAAATATATACACATAAAATGATGAATAAACTCTTTTATTAAATAAATAATAAATAGCCTAATACATCTTATGCTTCTAGGACACCATTCCCAACACATTCCAACTCTTTTTTCCTTGCTCTTAATCTTGTTCATTACCACATACCTGATGTTATCTCTTGTCATCTCTCATGAAGGAATCCCCCATGGATAGTTGTTGAATGCTTCTAGGTCGTTGACCAACTTGGATAGTATAATGTTGGAAAGCACATACAAAAGCCCTATCATGATTGCATCGTCGTCGCTGTCATATTTCGTGTTGGGGTCGGATAATGTTTGCTTAATGGCTGCCCTCGGGACGTACGATAGATTTTTCCAATATCGTTTATGGAGGCGGGATTTGGCAGACACAGGCTACAAGTGTGTTGAACCAACACACTTAAGACCGGTGATGAGGGCATACTCAGCTATAGAAAATCGCCCGATGTCGTCCCCAATAGCAAAGAATAAAGAGGCTTCAAGTGTGTTGAACCAACACACTACGACAGGTTGAAGCTGCAACTTCTCAAATTAAGTCCGTGTAAGACCCTGCCGTAGTATTCCCATTGTTTCCTCACAGTTAACAGTACGTTTTATTTTAACGTTCTCTATGTCCTCGTATGGAACCATTCTTATGAACTGTAATAATACTAATATGACCGGTCATACTAATAGGCAAGGCAAACAAAAAACAAAGACAAAAAAACAGATCACACCTTATGGGCCGGTCATACTTAGTAATTGTATAATATTACTGGTTTCACCATATAATATTACGAGTTCCACCACAATGACAATCCAATGAAGCTCATAAATTTCAAATAACTGACCTTAGTATCTGCTTTTATCTTCCTCCAAAGGCATCTCTTCCTCCAAAGTCTTTTTTTTTCTTCTAAGATGACAAACATTATTAAAAAAATAATAAATACAAAAAAAAACAATAAAGCAAACAAAGTTGTTGACCAATGTACTATGACTGGCACACTAAGAATCTAATAATTGTTCGCTCGGTCATAGTATTAAGATCGACGTTCATAAGTGCTATGACTGCCGCACTAAGAGCCTTCAATTGTGCGGTCACATTACTATGATCGAGGGTCATAATGCTATGACTACATGCTCATCTGTCAGGCAATCGTACTATGAGCCTGCCTGCCTAATGAGCAGTCTTAGTAATTATGACCAGCGGTAATAATTACTATGATCGGACAATGTGTCTGTCTTATGACCGGTCATAATAAAATTACTAAGCGGTCATAATGATATGACCGCCCATCAGGCAGAGTCACATACCAAATAAGTAAGGAACACAATGACAATCCAATAACCCCCAAATAACTGACCTTATATGCTTTTATCTCCTCCTTCAAAGCCTTTCTTTTATTCTAAGATGACAGAAAATGGTAAAAGAATAAAAAAACAATAAATTCCTAAGAAAAAAACAAATAAACAAGAAAAGCCAACAAATTTTTCACCTTTGTCTCGGAATCCGCCATTGACCTCGTTTGTTTCGTGGCTGACTTCTCTTGCATAGAGGGGGAGGTTTCCTCGGTTCGTTCTTATCCGACGAAGAGGTTTAGATGTTGATTTCTCCGGTGAAGGTTGGTCAGTTCTCGTCGCGTGATTGCGTGGGTTTTTCTATCGCGGGTTTGTCGGTGTTCAAGGTGGTAGATGGTGGTAGACAGTGGTGATCGTTCGTGTTTTTTGGTCTCTGTGCACACATACATCCGTTCTCCTCCTCTCTCTACTTTCAATATTTGAATTAGAAAAGGCTTCGTAATATATATTCAAGGCTTTAAAACTGAAATAGGATAAAATTATCATTTTAACTCAAGTAAAACCCGCCTGGTCCCACTTTTGCTGACATGGCGATGCTAATTGTGAAAGTATACAAAAATTGTGCTAAAATTAATAATCATTTACTCATGAGTGCTATTATTGAAATTAACCCATAATATATAAATTTTAGGGAGTAAAAAGCAAGGAGGAAAAGTATGAAAACTTAAAAAAGAAAAAAAGGAAAAAAAATAAAAATGACAATAAAACAACAATGTTTTTGAATAGTGTTTTTAGGAACTTTGATTTATAAAAGAAAAAGAAAAAAAATTGAAGTAAACGACATGAAAAAAAGTTAAAAAAAAAACTTATGAAAAAAACTTGCGTTAAATGTTTCACATCTGAAATTATAAATTTAGGATCATAGGCGAAATATATTTATGTAAGGACATATTTGAAAAATATTAATTTAATAAAGTAATTAAAAATAATATTTTAAATTATCTTAAAAATATTTAAAATATATACAAATTAACGGTTAAAAGAAAAAAAAGCAAAACGAACTCTCTCTTTTTAAGGAGAGAAATAAAAAAGAAAAAAGGAATTTCAGCCCAAATGACACTTCTTGAAATTTTTTTCATAAATGACAGAAGTTTTATAAAATTTTAAAAATGGTGATTTTTATTAATTTAGTGGTTTAATCGTTGATTGACTTAGCAGTCAATCATAGTAATTGAATTAATTATCTACTAATAATTAACTATAGTTTATCATTGATTAACTCGATAATATTTCATTATTAATTAATATTAGTTAATAATTAACTAAAATTAATTAGTAATTAATCAATTTCAATCAACAAATTACAAGTTTATTAATGATTAATGAATTAATAATGAATCGGTTAATTGTTGATTAATTATGGTCAATAACTGGTTGACTGTGGGTCAATCATTAATTGACTATCGTAAATAAAACAATCATTTTTGTAAAATAAAAAAGCTCGTTCGTTTATGAAATGAAGCGGTAAAAAAAGCCATCGCTAATTTAAAAAAGTAGAAAAGAGACAAAAATTTTTTAGAGTGTATATGTTTAAATTTTTGTCATTTATTCTTGATTAATTAATTTCTTTTTAGTTAAATAATTATATTAATTAAAATGTTATTAAAACGATAAAAATCTAAATTTAATAAAGGGAGAAAGAGGAAAATAGACCAAGACTTGAGATGAATTAAAATTAATAGGCCAATAGTTTACATAAGTTAATAAATAGGTCAAATTACTATTTTCGTCCATAACTTGTCTGGTTATGAACCATAACTTGACAAGTTATTGTCTATAATTCACGATTTTTGTTCATAACTTATCTGGTTATGAACCATAACTTGCTAAGTTTGTCCATAACTTTTCTGGTTATGAACCATAACTTGATAAGTTATGGTCTATTAATTTTTATAACTAAAAATTGGTCTATATACTTCCTTAAGCTTTTTATATTGATCTATTTTCTACTATTTCTCTTTAATAAATTTGGTAATTTTCCCAAGGAAAAAAAAAAAAAAAAAAAAAAAACTCAAGCCCAGCCCACAGAGCGGCCTACAAAGCCGTTCTCTGACAAATGCAAGGATTACAGAAATAGAAAATGAATTTGTTTGAAAGACGAGATGTGGTGATTCCAGACTTGCTCTCTGATCCAACGGCCCACATTGCATCAGCTTCTCCATCACTGATCTCTTATAAAGCATCACCGACCTCCATTTTCCTTCGTCCTCTCAATCAAACAAACGCTTTCCCACATCTCCCTTGTGACGCTCAGACAGGTCAATCTCTCTCTCTCTCTCTCTCTCTCTTCTTTCCTTTCGATCTCTTAGTTTTGGCTTGGATCTGTGCGTTTCGTTTCTCTAATTTCTGAATCTTTTTCGTTTCTGCAAAGTTCTGATCTTTGGATTTCCTTTTTCGCAATTTGTCTTCCATTGGTGAACATGTGTATACGCGTCTTTATATCGCTATGTTTGCATGTCTTGACCTATATGCTTGATTTCGTTTGCAAATTTTTTTTTTCCTTTTCCCGGTTTTGATTTGAGCTTTATGCGAAATGTTTGATCGATTCTTGATCTTTTTGATGCTGAATGTTTAAGAATGATGTCTCAGTACAGAGTTGACGGGTTAGATAATTGATCGGGTAAAGAAACTGTTGAAACCAAGAATAGTAATATAATTAATTATTAACAAATAAGAAGAAATGATTAATCACATCGTCCTGGCTTCTGTAAAATAAACTTGTATTTGTTATTTTGTGTGATCCTTTTCTGTTTATGATTGTTTGTTTAGCTATATCTAGCTAGTAGTTAAATCTATGTATCTCTTTATTCATTTACGTTTCAGTTAGGTGATTGAAAGCTTAAGATTTTTGGCATAAAAAACGAGGGAGAGAGAGAGAAAAAGAAAAAGGCCATTGTAAATTAATAGTACCTTGTACATTTGAATTTGATTGCAAGAAAACCTAGCTGCTAGATCGTGAGTTTTTAGGTGGTGAAAAAGAAACAAGTTTCCTGGATCCTTTGCTATGATGTTTCCTATTGAAAAATAGACAAGTTACTCTAATAGATTTCGCTAAACTTAACAGGTAATAGAAGATGGCAGATGGTGAGGAAATTCAGCCGCTCGTTTGCGATAATGGAACTGGAATGGTCAAGGTACTAATTTGGTTTGTCTGCATTTAGATGTTTCTCTTGTGATCTGAATCTTCTGTGCAAGTAGTAGCTGTATGTTGTGCTGTTTATTGGGTATTGACCGATTGTAATGTTACATTTTAGGCTGGGTTTGCTGGAGATGATGCTCCACGTGCGGTGTTCCCTAGCATTGTAGGTCGTCCCCGTCACACCGGTGTGATGGTTGGCATGGGCCAGAAAGACGCCTATGTTGGTGATGAGGCTCAATCCAAGCGTGGTATCTTAACTCTGAAATACCCGATTGAGCACGGTATTGTGAGCAACTGGGATGACATGGAGAAGATCTGGCATCACACTTTCTACAACGAGCTTCGTGTTGCCCCTGAAGAACACCCTGTTCTCCTAACTGAAGCTCCTCTCAACCCCAAAGCAAATCGTGAAAAAATGACCCAGATCATGTTTGAGACCTTCAACACCCCTGCTATGTATGTGGCCATTCAAGCCGTTCTTTCTCTATATGCCAGTGGCCGTACAACTGGTAAGTTGCTACATCTTTTGATTGACTATGCATGCATGTTCGTTAGACTTGGAAGATCTTATAGATGCTGACAGGAGCATATTTAATTATGTTGAGAAGCTCCTAATTAACAAAGTATTATACATCTGATGAGATTTTAGTCTGGTTGCCACCTAAATCATGACGATATTTTCTCACTGAGTGAAATTGTGAATTAAATTGTGCAGCGAACTTGTGAATTAAATTGTGTTGTTACTTTTAATTTTGTTGACCTCTCTTAATGTTGTTACTAATCTTTGTTGCTTTTTTATTTGGTTTGTTCCTTTTGTTTCAAAAACGTTTAGCTGGGAGTTTTTTATATCTTGTGCAGGTATTGTGTTGGACTCTGGGGATGGTGTCAGCCACACCGTTCCTATCTACGAGGGTTATGCCCTCCCTCATGCCATTCTTCGTCTTGACCTGGCTGGCCGAGATCTCACCGACCACTTGATGAAAATTCTTACAGAGCGTGGGTACTCCTTCACTACCACTGCTGAACGGGAAATTGTTAGGGACATGAAGGAAAAATTGGCTTACATTGCTCTCGACTTTGAGCAAGAGATGGAGACTGCCAAGACCAGCTCTGCAGTTGAGAAGAGCTATGAGTTGCCAGATGGACAGGTCATCACAATCGGTGCCGAGCGTTTCCGATGCCCAGAAGTTCTTTTCCAACCATCCATGATAGGCATGGAAGCTGCAGGCATTCATGAAACTACCTATAACTCAATCATGAAGTGCGATGTTGATATCAGGAAAGACCTTTACGGTAACATTGTCTTGTCTGGTGGTTCAACCATGTTCCCGGGCATCGCTGACAGAATGAGCAAGGAAATTTCTGCCCTTGCACCAAGCAGCATGAAGATCAAGGTGGTGGCGCCGCCCGAGAGGAAATACAGTGTCTGGATTGGAGGCTCTATCTTGGCATCACTTAGCACCTTCCAGCAGGTTTGTATATATATTTAGCAATTCAAAAATGATTCCTTTGATTCGATTTTTGGATATAATTACTGATCTGAATTACGAGTAATTTGCCTGTTTCCTATGCAGATGTGGATCGCAAAGTCGGAGTATGATGAGTCCGGGCCTTCAATTGTTCATAGGAAGTGCTTCTAAGCGTTTGGGAGTAGGATCATTGAAAGAGAGAGGGAGAGAAGCGAGTACTACTGTTTTTATTTCTTGGACAAAAAGTGCAGTTCGCGGAAGGCTGATATTCTAGCTCTGTTATCGTTTCATAATATGTTGTCGTCATTTTGGATTTTCTTCAGAAGCGTGGAGTTAAATGATCCAATCTCTTTTTAAATCGTTTGTTTTGATAAGTTTTTGTTGTTTACTATCATGCAAACTTTTTGTTTTTGTCAGCCCAAGATGCCTAAGTTATTTATGAACCTCTTAGGAGCAGCGGCTTGTTAAATGGTATTTTGATTCGTTATTAATGTATTGATCCAATAAAACAAAGTCATGCTCCTTGCACTTTGAAAAAAGAACTATCATAAAGCCGAATGCTGTGTTCTCTATCCAGGCAAGGTAAACTTGGTGTATCAACTAATTAAATACGACCAAATTGTCTATCGCTTGATTAGTGAATTCTCTTGTGGGCAAGCAAATTTGTTCAAAGCATTATCACCTTTTTGATCTTTCATAAGCGAGTGTTATTTTTTTTTTTTTTGGTTTTCTCTCTCTCTGTATATGATCACACAATATGTCTCGTCCACGTGAAAAATAAGAAATTGTATGCGTTAAAAACAATGGTTCAGCCAAGGCAAACATGGGTTTCTAAGCAACATTTATACACCTAAATATATATTCGTCAAACATATAATTTTGACAAATTTACACAGCTGAATTCTCTCAAGACTTACAAGGAAAAAAAAAAAATAGTTTTGAGACTAAAACTAACAAGATTGACATCCTTTTGCAGTGTCTATATCCCAGAAGAAAGTAGGGATTTTATCTGATGTTCATGATCACAAAATGGGTGATTTCCTCTGGGATTCCCATCTCCTGTGCTTAGCCAAGATTCCGAAACCTCTTCTTCCTTCACGAATTGTGAGTTCCTTTCCTTGCCACTCTCTTGCGTTAACCTGTTCTCCTCATTTAGATGATCATCATAGTAAGAATTACACCTGCCATATGCTTTAGAAGGAAAGCCTTTGTCAATGGCAGACGAACGCTGGATGAAGCTCCCGAATCCTTCGATTCCTCGAGTCAAATTACGAGCTCTTGCTCTTTCTTCATCGAGAAACACCGAGTTTTTGATAAGCTTCAACACCCTGTCGCACAACTTATTAACGCGCAACCCCCAGTTGAACCTGCATGTTAAAACACACAACTCAAAAGGGCATCATTCGGACATTGAATTGTGTACACTAAATACTACTCAGAGATTATATAGTCAAAGAAATACCAACCCTTTCTCATCTATATACTGAAAATTTCCCATCTCCTTGATGACATCTATATCATCCTTAAACTCCTCAGAAACTCTGAGTGGTCCATGAGTTAAAAGGTGTTCCAATAAAATTAGAGCCTTGTAAGGTCCTCTCCAGTTGTTTCTATCAAAGTTCAATAACCTGAATGAGCAGCTCAAACAGTTAATGCAACTTTTGCAAAAACAAGTACAGTTTCAATCAAATTTTCAAACATTAAACCTGCTGTGCAGAATCTCCACAATCCTCCAATAATCATCAACTTCAAAAGCAGCCCTTGATATCACTCCTATGGCACGTGTGTCTGGTGGCCACGTGTTCCCATTTGTGGCATCTTCTGTCATTCTAGAATAGAAGACCCCAAAACCATGAGAATACAGAACGTATGAGAGAGAAAATGCAAAAACCAATAGAAAACCAATATTATGACCCAAAAAAAAAAAGAAACTATAAAAACTATTCGTACTCGCATATCAAATTGTTGAAAAACTAATTCAACAGCTGAAACAGTAGTTTCTACTGATGGGATACGATAACAGTACCATAAAAGTTCCTCAAAAACTAATAAAGAGAAAACTCACAGTTGTGCAGGTGTTACATCAGTTAGAGCCAGACGAGCGGTTTTGATCTTGTCCTTGATAAAGGAAGAAGCTTGCTTCTTTAATTCATGGAAAAATGGACTAGTACTCCCCATGTTTTTCTGGCTTGAAAGGATTGACATGTTTGACAGAATGGAAGATGATGATGATTTTTTGTTGTAGACTTCCGTATGAGACATGTACGTACGTAAGAAGAGCAACCACTCCACAAAGGGAAAAAAAAAAAAAAAAAAAAGAATTACCAACTTCACTTTTGAAAGTCGTTCTTGTGTTGTATATATAAACTCTAGAAGATTAAGGAAACATGTTATTATATGAGAGATTTTTTTTATTTTTAATTTTTATGTAATTTTATACAAATTTGATAAACATAAAACTTAACACACCGATATAGAGAAGATTTCTTATTATATTTAAGAATATCTCACATGATATGAGATTAGAGAGTGTATAAATAAAGGAAGACTTCGTTTATTTCACCGATTTGAGTTTTACTACAGTAAAAAACTCTCAAAAATCATCACATCTAACTTTTTTATTATAATAAAAAACTTTCAGATAAAATCATATCTCAACAAACTAAACGGAGAAGATTTCAAAACTTTTCAATAAGCAAATCATGTGTTGACATCAGCAAGATAATTTCAATTTGACTATGGTCAACTTAGTGCCTTAGAGGCCCCTGAAACTCTTTATTTGTGTTTTTTTTTTTTCTTCAATTTGTTCCCTAACCACCCTCTGCTATTTACAGGTTTGTACTTTGGATATCAAATATCCTTCAATTTCCCACAGGCCACAGCTGGAGGCAAATAATCTAGAGATGTCAAACGTGCTGTGCCAGGCCGGCATGGCAAGCTTGACCCCAGGCCCATTACCGGCTTAGGTTGTGCCTGGCACGGCCCTGCACAGTGCGGGGCCGTGTCTGGGCCGGGCTTGAGAAGAAAAACTCAGGCCCGGTCCAGGCCCTTGGTCCTAGTCCATAAGGGCCAGGGCCGGGTGTGGGCCCAGACCCTTCACAGGCTGGCCCCGGCCCTTGTATTTTTTTATAAAAATTTAATTAAAAAAATATATCATATGCCCCAAAAGATGTGATTTTATTGAATTGACATAATAGGAGTACACATAAATGACTGCCTCGTTAAAAACCTTCCTAAGTAAAACCCGTGGGGAGATCGGGACAAAACCTTAGCGAAGGAAAAAAGAGTGCAGTAGCTAGGAATAGTAAATTACAAACCTAAGTGCTTCCAGAAGATTCTGTTATTTCTAAGTTAGAAAAATATTCTTGCATCGAATCATCTGTGTATTGTTGTTTTCGTCTTCTGGTATCTTCCCAGTCTTTAATGCACATTAGTCCCTCCAAGATATCTGGATGCATTCTGCTTCTCTTCTCGTCAAGAATTCGGTTGCTTGCGCTAAAAGCTTGCTTTGATGCTACCGTTGACATTGGAGTTGTAAGAATGTCACGAGCTATTATGGACAGTGTTGGAAAATGATCGGTCTGTTGGGAATCGAATCGAATTCGGATGCGGAACTGTAGCGGGGAGGCGGATCGTGTATAACAAAAATTTTATAAAACTTTTGAGATACTCTATAAATTATATTAATTTATGCATGAATAAATTAATTACATTAATTTATATGTCAAGAACTCAATTAGGAAAAATACCTGGAGGCCGACTCGGATGATAACTTGAGTTCTTTGACCACGAACAGTCCTTGCTCCAATCTTTGTGTTTAGAAAACCAAAGTCTTCCACGTAGACGTGTGTGTGGGCACACGTGAGACAAAACAGGTTTGAATAAACACTCGAATTTTCCACAAACACCAACGCATGCACGATGTGGAATTTTTTGGGAGAAAAATAATTTTTCTTTTTCTTTTTCTTTTGAGAAATTCGGCCACCTCTCTATTAGGGTAGAAAAAATGTTTCAAAAATTGTGTTCCCAATTTTCTATCATTTTCATATTTAAAGAGTAGAAGTCAAACTTTAAAAAGGAATCAAATCTCTATCTCTTATTTTGAATTTGGAACAAAAAATCTCCTACACCTTATCTCTAATGTGACCGGCCACCCTAGGGTTTTTCTCCCTTGTGTGTGGCTCCAATTCTGGATAGGGAAGGAAGATAAATCATCATTTATCCTGTAGTCCAATTTTAATTCAAATTCAAATTCGAATTTAAGTTAAACTTAAATTAATTTGAATTCTAAATTGAACAACTTATCAAATAAGTTTAAAATGATAAATTTAAATTATGTTCAAAATAATCACATTATTTAAATAATAATTAATTCTCAATTAATTATTTTTCGAGTATTTAATTTTAGAATTTCATAATTCTAAAATTTCCATTTTGTCCTTTGTGTCTGGTAGAATTAAAATGACGATGCGGGGACTTATGGACCTATAATCCCGAGCTCCAATAAAATTAATAATTAATTAAACACTTTAATTAATTAATCAATTCTATTAATTCCAATAGTTACTCCACTATAAACTTGGAATTGAACTCTCGAAATCATAGACATTAATTACTTCTAAACTGTGAAGTGTCCATTTGATATAGTCATTGCATATAGATCAATCCTCCATAAATAATTCATAATTAGAGTCAGGTATAATCCGTTAACCTCTCTAATTATATCTACATCCTTGAGTACCATTGATTCTCTAATGCATAGTGATTCATAAAACACATTCATGAACCAGAGCACTCTTACTAATCCAAGTACCGAATCAACACTCAAGAGAATTATTTATCTACTTCTTTCTCAAGAAGGAATGGATCCCATCTCATATAATAACATTTCCGGCTACCTATATTCATCATGTCTTCAAAATACAATGAATAAGATTCAGGGTCTCGAAATCCGTACCGAGTAAATCAAAAGACATAAATCCATAAATAGGAGTTTGTTAAGAACTCAGGATTAAGATCATTCTATATATGACCATCGGTAGACTCAATTAGAATTTCTATGCTTAATGGTCTTGCTCTTCCACCACTGTAAGATGACTAGTTTGTCGTCATCGATTACAAAATTTACTTTAAAATATTTAACTAGTTCCGTAGACGCTTGTGTTGAGGACGATCCTGTCGTTTTCTCTTTCTTCTTCAAGAAACTCCACGACGATCCTTTAGGCCCCGAACTAGTAGTTGACGACGAAGTTCCCTGTTCTTTTTTACCTGTGCTATATTTTGCTTCATACAAACTAAAAACTTTTTCTAACATTTTCTTAGCGTCAGTAATACTTAGTTGCATACCTATTTCTAAATTCTCTGCGGTAGCAGTCATCAATGATTCAGTTCCATCTACTCCGCACCTAGGATCTAAAATGGTTGCCAATGCATATAAACAATCTGACCAATAACTTTTAAATTTATTTTCCATTAAGTTAACTATATTTCCAAAAAGTTTTGTATCCCTATAATAAGAAAATATTTCTGAAATATTAAATAGTTGATGTAAAGCTAAATGTGCAGTAGGATAATAAACTCCAGAAAGTAATTCAGTAGCATTGTAAAAAACTTCTAGAAATTTAAAAAAATACTCACCAATCTGCCAATCAGGATCGAAAATTAAAATTTGGTCGTTCTTACTGTTTACGTATGTCGTGATAAGCTGTGAATACGGGAGTGCTGCCTTCAACATTAAATATGTTGAATTCTACCTATGTCTCACGTCAGTTGGAAACTTTCTTGGGCGCATCTGGCTGTTCCTGCAATATTGTTTGAATTCTTAGAGCCGAGCTCAGAACTAGATATGAAGGATAATGATTCTCTAATATTTGGAAGATTAACTGAGATATGTTCAATGCCTGCCTGAACTACTAAATTAATTATGTGACATGCACACCGTTGATGAAAAATTTTCCCTCAAAATGCTGGTTTCAAATTACGTTTAAACAGATTAATTGCAACTGTATTAGCTGACGCATTATCAAAAGTAATTGTTAAAACTTTATCTTCTATCCCATAAAACCCAAAAATTTTCATTATTGTATTAAAAATAGCTGTTGCGTTATGAGGGTATGGACATAAACGAAAACCAATTATTCTTTTTTGTAAAACCCAATCGTCATCAACGTAGTGCGCTGTGACACATAAATATCTAGTTTTATTGCACCCCTCCCACATATCAGAAGTACAAGAGACAGTAGCATTAAAAGTCCTAAAATTATCAACAAGAGATTGTCTTATTGCATAAAAAACTTTCATGCAATTAGAACGAGTTGTGTTTCTACTTATCCGTTTAAATTGTGGGCAAAAGGCTATCTGGATGAATTCTTCGAACAAGGCATCATCTGCAAAAGAAAGAGGCAATTCGGCACTAGCTAGAAATTTAGCTAGTGCCTCACGAGCACGTTGTGCATCGTATGTAAAATTTTGTAACCCCTGTGATGTGAGTGATAGTGTTTGTTGGCGGGAGTCCACACTCCCACATTGGTGCAACAGTACGCATACTTTCCAATGTCTATCCAGGTGACCAGTACCCCCACCATTTTTATTAGAAAATTACTTTTTACAATATTTACATACCGCACGAATTTTCATCTCACCTGTTTTTAGATTTGGTCGGGGCTCCTCGGTGAAATGCTGCCATGCCGGAGAAGTTCGCAGTCTTTTTCCTCTGCTGCGTTCTCCAGCTTCCTCGTTGTGTACTGAAGCATTATCCACCGGAGCATTTTCTGGTTCAATGGGGGTGGGGTTGGGAGGCATCATTTCATCCTCATAAAATGACTCATCACCACGCTCAGAAAGAGCAGTGAAATCAAGGAAGTTTGGAGCGGCCATTTCTGGAAATTGATAGAACTTGATTGAACTTTGTAAATGAAAGAGCTAGAAAATGAATGAACGCGAGAGAAAAGCTTAGAATTAAAATCAAATAGACAAGTTGAGAGATAGAATGAGTGTGAGATGAGAAGTTGAGAGTGAATTGTTGTGTGAGATTTATGGTGGAATTAAGGGGTATTTATAGGAGATTTTGGGGGTGAATTTTCGGATTTTAGGGTTTTTAGCCGTTGGGCCCTTCGCGGGCCAAACGGGAGGCACGTGATGGGCCAAACAGGAGGCCCGTCACGTGCCTCCCATTTGGGCCCGCGAAGGGCCCCTGGACCAAATGAAATGGGCCGTTTCGCGGACTTGGGCCGGTCCGAACAAGGGCCGAATCAGGGCTTGGGCCGAACCGAACAAGGGTCGTGCCGTGGGCCTCCACGTGCTTGGGCCGTGGGCTGAGAAGCTGAGGTCCAGCCCTAGCCCATTACACGTGTCGTGCCGGCACGGCCCGTAACAGTAGCGAACCAGGCCGTGCTGAATCCGACACTATTACGGGTTGGGCCGGGCCGTCCATGGACGGCCCGGCCCATTTGACACCTCTACGTTCCAGTATCTTGCTCAACATATTAGTGAACAAGGCGTGCGTTATTAGGTTTGGGTGAAGCTGAGGAGTGTTGTAGAAGCACATAAATCAAAAAATCCAATCGATCTTTTGATTTGATATTTGAATTGGGTAAAACTTGAAGTTGAATTGGGTTCCATTAGAATAATTCTTATATGAATCATAATAAATGCGTAAGAATTAAATAAATAAAAAAAAGAGAAAAAATATTAAAAAAAAAAAAAAACGACAACAACGACGACAATAACATTATAGGCATGGTGTTGAGATTTCCCCCTAAGGGGTCCTGTGTCTTTTGAGGAGTCAATCTCCAAAACCCAAAGCCCTATAGTTACTAGTTGATCATTGTTTTTTTACCCGGACTAGAGAATTGCCTAATTGAAAAATGACTTTCTCCGACATTAAATATGGTTAAAATAACATCAAATCAAAACATATACATCTGACAGCTAAAACAAACTCCAAAGAGAGAGAGGGGAAAAAAAAAAAGAAAAGAAGAAAGACACCATGATGCACAGTCGACTGCCAAATTGTAGGGAATGAGAAAATGGAAATCAATTTTAAGTTATCCTCTATATTTATTTTGCTGATAATTATTGCACAATGAATTATTAACCCTAAGCTACTAAGACTTCTATTCTTTTAGTAAATTTAGAAACAGAAATGAAATGTTTCAATCCCATTTTTTTTATAGCCAAATAAACGAAAGGAAATTAGGGAGAGTGGCCATTTTATGACAAGCATCCTAAAATATGCCTGAAAGTTCAAAAAATTAGAGGAATGGACGTTTCTTATTTCTTTCTCCACTGCAATGCCAGTTTCACCCTTTCTTCCCAGTTCACAGTCGACATCATTTCTCCGACCACTGTTGTTCACTCCCCGTGTGGATCTCTTTCCTAACTGTTGTTTGTACAGATCTTGCCGTCAAGAACCAACTCAGTTTCAAAAAGACGGTGTCGTGAGGATTGACATATGTTGTATGATCCAAACGAGAGAACAGCTAGATTTCTTGGTGTGAGGCAGCCATGCTGCTCATCTACTAGAATAATAGTCTTTGCAACTATTATTAGTCTAGGGTTTTACCGGCGTTTTTAGGTGGAAAATAGTCTTTGCAACTTTTTTTTTTTCCCCTTTTTACCGGCCTTTTTCTTTAATTTTAAGAAACTTGGATCATTGATTTAAAAACCCATTAAAACTGGCCATTGTTGCTGCTATCGCCATAAATAAAATAAAGAAAATTATTGGTAGCCTCTTCTCAGTTCCCATTCCTTTTCTTTCCTTTCAAAAACTTCCATTTCCTAATTCCTATTACATTCCCTTACAAACAAATGAACTAACAAATTGCATTATCTTAAGAATCAAACTAATACATCTATAGTCTAACAAGGAAACTTCGACTGAAAAAAGTTGATCCCTATTCCCTACGTCGCCCATGACATTTAAGGTAACAATCCTCACGTTTGTATACTAGAAGTTGAAGACGCTTAAATGGTATTTAGTGGAATTTATTAAGAGCACCACTTGCTACTGAAAGCTCAAACTTCAAAGCATCTTCAGCAATTTCCAACATTTCCCCAAAACACCCCAAAGTCCCGAAAGTTGAAGAACAGATAGAAATGCACTTCATGAATACTGAAAGGCCTACTAATTTAAGTCAAGAAAGCAATAATTTTCATCTATCTGCTCCTTTCTCTCTTTTGAAATGTATATATAACTTTAGCTTCACGTTCTCAAGAAAGTGATTCAACTCTATAGTCAGTCAGCAAAATGTAAGGTTAAAACCTAAAAATCAAGTACTTCGTTAGTTCGTGGCTTTGGAATAAAACAAACTCATGTAACTTAATAAATCTATTTTGGCCCCTGCATATAGGCTTACGAAGGAAAAGTTTTGTGTACGCCGTGGTGCTCCCTGTGCAAATTTGTCTCCTCTGATAGTGTAAATAAAACGAGCGACAACGGGGATAATGATGTTCCTCCCAATTGAGTTCAAGTGTGATATAACTTAGTTACGGATTCTCCACATGCCAGTCCTATATCCGACAGACATCAGTGCAAGCTCCCAAAGCATGTTGAGAATGCTTAATAAGTTCACCTTTGATCCCGGAATTTCAGACCAGTTCACAGATGTCTCAATCATTCGGATGTCAAACCGTTTGCATAGAAAAACTAATTCAACGTCGAAGCACCACCTGCAGAAAATCCATATCACAATCTATCAATATCTCTAAATTTTATAGCTACATTTGATTACCTGGTAAACATTTTGCAGCAATATTTGATATTTTTAATTCATGCAGTCCTTTTAATTTCTAATCTCACTATGCAATATAAATCCTTGTATTCACTTGGTAAACATTTTGCAGCAATATTTGATATTTTTAAAATTTTGATTGAAATGTTTAAGCAGACAGTGAATTTAGGTCATCTATGCGATGTAGATGTGATTACCTTTTCAAACGAATGTTGCTGAAAAGTTTCCTTCCAGCGGCTCTCGTAAACATCTTAAAACCACACTGCGAGGCATGACGAAGTCCTCATCAGGACAACCAAGTATATTTCATCCAACGTTCAAATTTCAATCAAATCATTTGGCAGTTTAATGAAAGAAAAAACATAGTAGAAACTAACCTGTGTATCCCGAATTCCAGGACCGGCAGACAAGAGAACCACAAGATGGAAACCCTTCATTAAAAAGTTGCGGTACCACTTCCTCTGTAACATTAATAGAACCAGGTTCAAAAAAAGAAATAAAGAATACGAGGATCAAAGTAGGCATTTATTGCCTATAGCAGCAAGCAGCAAAGAAAGACTAAACTGTAGCCAGGGCCTTCTCCTCAAGGTGAGCACGGGAACCAAATGCAACAATTGGGACATCAGATACTCTAAAACTCGAATCACTAGTCGCTGAATCACCCAACTGAAATTCCTTTTTAGCAACTGCGTGGATCTAGAAGGTAAAATGAAAATAATTTCATTACCCTGGTTAACATGAAAAAAGACCTAGAAAAGAAATTGTAGTATTGCTAATATGATCAAAACCAGTACAAACCTGATTTTCAAGCTTTTCTAGGTCATTAACCTTGGTTGCCCCATCAGCATCCAGCATTAGAAGTAGTTCACCACGTGAATGAAGCATTCCCTGTTTTACAATGCTTTCACAAATGTAAAGAGCTTCAATCAGTAAGGAATTTTGTCATGCGCTCTAAGTAACGTCGAACCTCAACAGCATGAGAATGCGTTCACAAGTAAATGGATCATATCAGACTCACTTTTCTAATAGCTTCTCCCTTGCCATGATTTCTACCGAGAAGGATAAGCCTCACATTATCCACAGTGTATTTCTTGACATATTCAAAAGCTACCCTTTTTGTCCCATCAGCACTTCCATCATCAATAATCATCACCTGTTCAACAAAACAATCCTAAATAATGTAAACAAGAAACAGAAAAATAAAAAGATAAAGATATTCTAAGATTACTTGCAGCAGATTGACATAATTGACCTAAAACTGTTAATTTAGTCCTAGATGTCTACAATACTCGAAGTTCTATGACACCTAATTAAACCAATATGGGTAATCCAGAAAACGAAGGAAACAAAGTAGTACCTCGTATGAAAAAGATTTATCCTGTGCCACACGTTGTTGAAGATAACTGCAGAGTACAGCCATACATATCATCATAACTGGATATTGTTTCTCAAACAAGTATTCTGTGTTTATATGCGTATAATTTCTTCTGGCAGGTGGCATAAAAAGTCATGAAAATTGTATGAATGTTTATGCCCCAAAAGCTAATACCATTCTCCGACCAGTCAAGCACCCTCTTCAGGGAGACTCGGGGATCATAGAAACAAAAAATGTGAGGGCATCACAAACCTGCTCTTCTAGCCAAGATTCCTTACATACGAAAGTAATGGAAAATCTAAAAGAAAATATACTAAGATGAATATATTTATAAATCAAAATGCGCAGCAACTAGTTTTACTCCGAGATGTCTTACTTCATTGTTTCATCAAGAGCTCCAGGGAGCCTGTGCTCTTCATTGAATGCTGGAACAATCAAAGATAAGTACTTTTCTGCTGGATCAAAAACAGAAGGGCAACGAACCTATAATAAATGCACCAAAACACACTTGCATATCAACATAACACTCAGATATTAATTTAGTGACAAAAACAAAACAACAAAAAAAAAAAAAAAACCAATTTTTTTCCTCCATCACTCCAAGTCTTAATAGGAAGAACTTTGATCACAAAATAAACATATACTTTAGACGAATGTTCCTTTGTTTGAAGCATATACACTCTATAGTCTATTGCCATGTTCAAGGAAAAAAAAAAACAAAGCACAACCTCACATCTATCAACTGCAAAGTCCAAGACTTGATTTATCATATAATTTGACTAGATTCCAGTTTGTTGGTATGGATTTTACTCGATTTTTAAACTCTTTTATAAATCTCTAATCTTGTAGAAAACTGATTAACAAATCCAAATGCCATTAGAACTTGCAAGGCGTTGACTAATAAAGTTGAAACAAACCAAAAAAAAAAAAAAAGAAGGAAAATCATTCAGAAATCATCGAACTTTCCAATCAATTTCGTTCTTTTTCGATCAATAGTACACATTATTCAAATCGAATTAAAAACAAAAAACAAACAAATCTGGTACCATAATAAACTAATTAAACCGACCTGTTTCAACGAATTCGGATCCTCAAAGATCGCAGGGGCTTCGACGTGCCTACAATAATACAAATAAAAAAAACAATTGATTATGAATAATAAGCCAAGGAAAATAGAAGATTGAGAGAAAAATTGGAAGAGGGCAGTGGGGGCGTACGAGTGGTTATGTCTTCTTCTATAAGCTTCGAAAATTATGACGGAAAATAAACCTAGGATTAGGATTACTATCAGGGCAACCATGATCTCCACCATTGTCAATAAACTTAAAATCTCCATTATTTTTTTTTAAAATCCTCTGCTTCGCCAAAAAGTCTTGCGTTTAGCTGGTTGTCTTGATGGATGAAATTCTGAAACCAAAGACCTACCGCTAATGTTGTTGGATACCGCCTATTTGGCTAGCGTTAGAATTAAATTAATATATTTATAATTAAAATTGTTTAACGAATCAACAAGCCCGTCTAGCTCAGTTGGTAGAGCGCAAGGCTCTTAACCTTGTGGTCGTGGGTTCGAGCCCCACGGTGGGCGTGTTTTTTTTTCTTTTCTCAAATGTCGTTTATGCTCCGTTAGTATTTTACAAAGAAATTGCAAAACGACGTTGAAAGGCATGCGATAAACTAAGTAAACAACGACAAGAAAACGAAGCGACGACCATAAAGAAGCGAGAGTAGAATGAAAACGACAACAAGAAAATTTAAAGTAGAGTGTTTGTTTTTAATTAAAAAAAAAAGAGAGAGGGAATCAACAGATAAATATAAGAAAAACTAAGGACGCTATATAGATACGATGATAAGATGGAAAAAGGCAATAAAACGATAACAGTGAAAACTGAAAACGACAACAAAGAAAAGGTACCTGATAAGAACGAGGAGTCGAAGGAAATGGCATCAGAATATGCTGCAACAATAGAAAACAAAAGGTAAATGAGAATGACGACTTTTTACCGAAAAATCGACGTCAGTATTACAGAGAACGACCACTGTAAAGGAACAAAACACAAACATTGAAAGGAATGCAACAATAAAGTGCACAAACGACTATAAATAGAGGAAACGATAACTTTGTATAAACAATGACAAAGAGGAAACAATAGCAAAACAAAAATCGACAACAAATAGTAAAGAGTAAATACGAAGAAGACGGCCACTAATGGGTATGTGAAATTCATTTTCTAGAGCAATATTGCGTCTCTAGCTGACCCTAAAGGGGTCTCCCACAACTTGCTCCACTCACCTCCATGTGGGTGTCCAAGGTTTCATCCTGGTTATTCATAGTTTAAAAAAATATATATATAACAAAGTTACACGTCTCTCTCCTTGGTTTAAACTTTTGAGACAGAGACAACCAAAGGAATTAAGAGTGCAACAATGAAAGTAGCTTGTAAAACGTTTGAGGGTTAATCATGTTTTAGCCAAAAAGATAGGTCAAATGTTATTTTGATTTATGACTTTTAAAATACTAGAGCGAATTTTCAATTGATGAAATTTCTCTAAATAACCCTTCTATTTATCTAACTGTTAAATAGCCCTTGATGAGAAAGAGCATGCAAGGACTATGTGTGGTTTAATGGTGGTTATATTTACAATTTTACATGTTGTGACACGATTCTTAAGAAGAAAGCTGAGCCCTTTTTCCTCAAAAAGTCTAAATCTGAACTGTGAGTTTAGAACCATCCTATATTCGAATATTTAAACAACCTCTCTCCCCTAAGATCTCATGGGTGTTTCAAAGTATTTGTTAAGAGTATTTGTAGTTTAAAACCATAAATTTACTTCTTGCTTACTCATAATTCTCACAATAATTAAAACTTTATTGTCAGGTTTTATACTTTCAAATACCAGTTTGAACCCGAGTAGAACTCACATGGGTTCAGAATTTTCAGTTCAAATTTAAAAAGCTTAAAACCATATAATTCCAACCGTGAAATAAAATGGGCCCTGAGTTTACCTCCCCAACTGTGGGGGGGCAGTGGCAGAAAACATAAACTCTTTTAACTCTTAATTATTACACCACCTTAAATGAACGATATATGTTCCATAGAATGTGGTCAACATATCCTATATGCCAAGCTCAAATGTGAAACTACATACATTAGATTATATTCATATTAGAACGTCCCCTTTTCAGTATTGTACATTGCTTGCATGTGACACCCTATAATGCCTTGTTATGACACACCCAATACACACTTTTGGGTCCAACGAAAAAAGACTGTCTCATTACTTATTACCCCACGCATTATAGGAAGCTGCACACCACTCAAAAACTCCCATTTGATTCTAGTTGCCTGAGTAGGACGACAGAGATGTCCATGATTCATGTGGAAAAGTTAGCAGAGATGGGCCTTCTGAGCTCTGAGGACATGATTAAAGCCACAACACATTAGAAATAGATAGGGAAACAAAGATAAAGAAAAGGATATCCTTTTCTCCTGACTTTTCTTATACCACTAAAGCTTTTAATAGAGAGGTGGAGAAGCAAGCTGGCCCTTCCGTCCTACCAACTTTTCCCGCTTTTTCCATCCTACCAAACATCACTTTTTTCCACATTAACCCTCATCAACATAATCATTTATGATCACATCCATCTGTTTTTGTATAATTCCTCAACCCGTAGTGGAACTTCTGGTTTCAATCCTTATCCTTTATGCTGTTGTTACCTTGAGCGAGAAATTCTGAGGATTGTAATACGTGCAGATTACAATATAAATATTTGGGTCACAAGTTTTAAATCAATTAAATAGCTGCCGGTGTAATTTACACTCATTTGGGTCACGGGTTGAATCCAGTGGCACAATTTACAAGAGCTGAAAGTGTCGTAATGATGGGAAATAAGAAGATGAATTCTATGGTTAATTAGGATACGGAAAAAATATCTTATTATTAAAATGTACACAGTTTAAAACCATCGAGTTTTTTTTTTTTTTTTTTTAAGTTTAACATCATGATTATTATGATGTAATATAACGATTAAAAATTGTATGCTAAAATATTTTTTTTCATGTTTTATGAGAATTCTTCGGAACCAAAAATTTTCCTGGAAGACTATCAGCCACTGAAAAACTTTAAAAACATTAAGTTATCATAAACGAGATTTAAATACTGACATTGTATTAGCAAATACTATAGTTGTACATGTCATGATGACTCATGCCTAAAGCTAATATATAGTAAGTTTCTACCCAAAAAAAAAAATCAATATATAGTAGCTAGGTAAGAAGATCCGCATTAACAATATTTCACCCAAAAAAAAGTGAATCAAGGATGCACCAGAACTTAATCTAGAAATACAAATGTATTTAACAGAACAGCGTGTTTGATTAGTGTCACTACTTTAGAAAAATTAATAAAAAAAAGGGTTAAATCTGTCACTGCCTTTTTCCCTGGAGACTTCTATTAACAGAGACAACAACATAAACATTACAGAGCCCCTCTAATATTACAAGTCCACATTTATTCATTCTAAAAATACAAATTTTTTTTTTTTTCAAAATAAACAAAGATCCCAACAAATAAACCAATACCCCCGTAATAATAATAATAATAATAATAATAATAATAATAATAATAACAAAAAAGAAAAACCAATAATAACCAAAAAAAAGGGGTAAAAAACTCAAAGTCTGATCTAATGAGCCATGGCGACAGGATGAGGAGAATTAGCATAGTTAATACTTCTCTGGTTAGGCAAAGCGAGCATAGCCGTATGATCCAAGAAGTCCTTCAAAGCCACGACAGACTGCAGAATCGTCCTCAGATCTTCGGCACAAGAGAATCCCAAACTGCCGACTCTTCTGACTGCATAAACGTAGAAAGTCAAACACCCTTTTCTGAACTTAAACCTCGCCATTTCGCTCCCAGCCAAACCCCTTATGAACCTCTTGTTGACCTCTCCGAGCGGAATCTCGGTCGGCCAGAGGGGGTCCACCGTGGCCGACCGCATCGCCTCCGACTCGAACACGAAGAGCAGGACCTTGCTCTTCTTGGTGCCCAGCCCCAGCGTGAGCGTGTGCCACGCGTGGTGGGCCAGGATCGTGAAGTTGGTTGGGAGATAGGCAACCGTCGAAGGAAAGGGAGTTTTGTTGTGTTTGGTTGGCGGGAAAGAGAGGAGCTGGAGGATCTCTGGGGGCCGGGCACGGCGGATCGTGAAGGACTTGACGATGAACTGGCCGCCGAAACGGACGCCCTTTACGTCGGAGCTTGGCTTGAAGGAGAAATCCGATGATGTTGGTGGTGTTGTTTTGGTGGTTTGGTCATTTGGGTGTTGGTGTTTTTGCTTCTTGTGGTTTGTTGTTGTTGTATTGCTCTTGCTTATCTTGATTTTCTTCTCTTTCTCTTCCATGGTTTTTTTTTTTTTTTTTGGTGGGTGGGTGGTGCTACTTGCTAGCTAGTTAGTGGACTAGGGTGGGTTTTGTTTGGGTATAATAAACAGGGCTGGACTGATAATTATGATAATTATGATAGTGATAATAATCTTTAAGGGTTGGGGTTTCCACGGTGTATTATTGAATTGAGATTTTTATATAATAAGGTATGAATAGATACTTACAATTAGTAGAGTTCTGTTCTAAGTGTTAATACACTAAAGTCTCGTTCATTTCACCGATTTGAGTTTTTAATTTTAGATTTTTATAATAAAAAGCTCTCAGAAAATGTCACATTTAACTTTTTATGCTACAGTAAAAAACTCTCAAAAAATATCACATCTCAACTTAAATTAAAAACGTGAATCCGCAAAGTGAACGAAGCCTGATTTTATTAATTTTGCTTTGATGTGACTTAACAAAATCTAATTTTAAAATCATACATTAGGATAGTTTTGAGCTTCTTATTCGTAGTTTATTGTATTGTATTGCTTTAGAATATTTTTTGGGTTCTTTCTTGTGGTTGCTTTTTCTTTTGTATGTAATGGAATATTATTTCAGTCAAAAAGAGGGGTGAATTTTATTTTATTTTATTTTATTTTATTTGGTAGTTAAGGCATACAAACGCAAAGAACAACCAACAAGCTAAGCCGTTGGGCTCTTTCTTCTCGTTGTGAAGTTTGGGTGCCTTTCGTTGTCCCTGTTGCCCTTTTCCATCACTTTTATAATGACCTGTACTGGTAGTTATACACATACATACTACATAAGATGAGCCTTTCGTACGGTTTGGTGAAACTTACTAGTTATAAAAGACTAGGGGGACTTCCTTTCTTTATTTTGGTTGGGTTGGATAGGGCTGGCAATTCGTGTTCGCGAGTTGTGTTCGGGTCGACACGATTACGGCACGATACGATTATAGTGAGCACGAACACGACACGATTAATAAACGTGTCAGAAACTCAAACACGAACACGACACGCTAATAACACGGTTAACACGACACGACACGCGAACACGATTATTAAACGTGCCGTGACGGGCCGACACGAAAAAAACACGTTTATGACCCGTTTATGACCCAACTAGCAAAAATAGTGAATTTTATATTGTATTCAAAACTATATTAATTGACTACTTAATATCACTTATAGTTAAAATCATGCATAATAGCCAACACACATTAAAATATCTAAAACATCACTTACGATATTTGTTTCAAAACATACCAATTACTAAACATCTAAAGAAGTTTGAAAACATAACCAAGTACATTTAAATAAGTTTGAAAACATAACCAAATATTTGAAAATTTAAGTGCATAAAACATAATCAACCATCTACAAGTCCATTGGCATATTTAAGTGCATAAAGCATAAAACATATTTAAAGTTTAGGTTTATCCATTACAAATCATCCATTGGCATTTTGTAATCAACCATCTACAAGTCCATCTACAAATCATCCATCTACAAGTCCATTGGCATTTTATAATTTTATCAACATGCCATAACTTATTTAAAAGTTAGAGTGTTAAATTAAGTTAACCCTTTTATCAGACACCCTTCATGCAAATGAGAGAATATAAATAAAACTGGCTGTAAGAGAATGAGAGAATGAGAGAGAATGAGAGAATGAGAGAATGAGAGAATGAGAGAAAGAGAATTAGAGAAACTAGGGTTTTATCTTAAAAAAATATATATAAATATATATATAGATTAATAAACGGGTCGGTTCGGGTCGTGTCGTGTCGTGTCGGCTCAATTATGGCCCGTATAACTAAACGGGTTAAGCGTGTTAAACGGGTTGGCACGAATCCAACCCGTTTATTTTCATGTTATTCGTGCCAGCCCGTTAACGACCCAATTAACAATCGTACAGTCTAAACCTATTTATCTCGTATCGTTTCATCGTGTCGTGTCTGAAATTGCCGGTCTTAGGGTTGGAGTTCTCAAGTGCCCTCTTATATTTACTACTATTTTTGGTCCGTTTATATATTAGTATCCTTTACTCCGAAAATGAAAAGGCTTGCATCTTTTTTGCTGGAAAAGTATATTTCACAATTATATTTTTCTTTTGCACGCGAGGACAGAGAGAATTATGAAAGGATTTTTTTTTCGTTTTCTTTCTTTTTTTCTGGTTAAGTTTTTGCGTATCCAAATCATAAGCATGTATGTTGAAGTGGTTCTAATGTTATTTTCCAATAATCCTCTTACCCTCTTTTGTCTTAACGTTAATATATGTAAGAATTTTGTAGTAGAACATTAAAAAAAAAAATTCTATAATATCAAATCAAATCATAAAAATCTGACTGTTAAAATATATTTCTCACCATCAAGGTATTTCTTCGTACTTAACAAAAAAAATCTACTATTTTTCTTTTTTGAAGATAAAAATTCTATTACTATACGTAAGTGAAAAGTAAAGAACAAGACACGATGAATAAGTTTTAAAAACCTTATATAGACATGTGTGATATAGTTTGTTGCATTTATGTCAACATCATGGCGTATGATAATGTCAAAGAAGAGTGTTTATGAATATTGTCAATATTACAAAGTTTGATATATCACGATCTATTTCAATTGCAGATGAGGGATACGATTTTCGCGAGACAGCGAATTCTATAACTTGTATCTATCCATTTCAAAACCCAAAGCAAAAAAAAAAAAAAAAAAAACTCCATTAAAAACAACAAAGTTTTCATGTGCCTGCCACTAGAAGATTTTGGGGTCACAAAATGATAATTTCTTCCCAAATATGGTAGATAAGTTCATTCCCAGAGGTATTGGGACCACATTATAGTAAAACCGAAAAAGGCAAATTGCACTAACCAAGAAGTTGAACTGTTTCCTCTCATCATAATTACACCCATATGTTTAAGTCGCTTATGAAGTGCCTAACCTAATATTAGAAGCATAGACGTAAAATTTGCTTACTAATGTACTCTAAGCATTGTCATATTAATATATATATATATATATATAAATATTACACGTATATATTTCTTGATAGAAATACTCCTAAATAAATTATTATTAATTTTAGCACTATACTTTCACAGTTTGCATCACCATGTTAGCAATGTGAGGGTAAAATAACTTATATGTCACTTAAGTCAAAATTATTATTTAAAAGCACCTCAAAGAAACTCCCAACTATCTCCCGCCCATTCTCTCTCTCTCTACACCTCATTTTCGGCTCTCTTTCTCTCTCTCTCTCTCTCTCTCTCTCTCTCTCTCTCTCTCTTTCTCTCAAGTTTGGCCTCTCTCCATACTCAGTCTCTCTCTTCCCTACGCCCTAATTCGTTCATCGCCAATACTCCGGTTGTGCACCAGATCAAGGTTGGTACACAATTTTTTTTGTTTTTCTTTTATTTTTGTCTTTTTAAATTTATTTTTTGGGAGACTTAGTATGTAGAACTCGAAAAAAATGACTGGGTTGAACTTAATGTGATAGGAATTGAAAATATCCTTCGTCAATTTGAGATTTTTGATGGTTTATAACTAATATGTAAACTGATTGTAACGACCAGCACGTCAAAGACATAGTTGACCTTGGGAGTCATAGTATTATGATTCATAGTGTTATATGTCCGGTCATAATACTATGACCAGTCAGTCATTACAGTATGAGTCAAAATGGCCGGTCATAGTATTATGACCAGCCATAAGGCAGTCATAGTGATATGACCGTCCAGACATAATATTATGACTGAAAGGACTCATAGTGTTATGACTGGCACACTATGACTGCCTTATGACCGGCCATTACACAGTGTTATGACTGGTCATTTCTAATGACTCGATGACAACTAGGAGTAATTGCATGTTGATTAACAGTTATTGTTTTTGAAATTATTTAGGAATGGCTGCTGGATTGAACGTCTTCATTATACAATGGACATTGGGACCGTGCTTCTACATACGACGGTTGTGAAATGAATGGGATATTGGTCTCCACCAACACAACTTATATTGGTCTTCTAGATTTGGTGAGAAATGTGCTTGGGATTCGGACACAAGGAAAAAGTTTATCCTTAAGATATGTTGTTGAAGACGAGGAAGCTCTTGTGAAGATATCGTCTGACTATGATGTCACATTCTATCAATGATATCTCTTCCTCCAAAGCCTTTCTTTTCTTCTAAGATGACAAAAAATGGTAAAAATAAATAAATACAAAAAAGAACAAGAAAAGCAAACAGAGTTGTTAACTAAAGTACTATGACTGGCACACTAAGAGTCTAACCATTGGGCGGTCATAGTGCTATGACCGACGGTCATAATTCTATGGCTGCCCATCATGCAGGCTCACTCATATACTTATGACTGATAGCCGGTCATAAGGCAGTCACATAGTGCGGTCACAATATTATGACTGACGGTCATTATACTATGACCGCAGGCTCATCAGTCAGGCAGTCACACTATGAACATGTATGCCTGATGGCTGGTCATAGAATTCTGACCATCGGTCATAGTACTATGACCGCACGCTGTATCTGTCTTATGACCAGTCATAATAAATTACCGACTGATCATAATGATATGTCCGGCCATCAGGCAGCGTCACATACCAAATAAGGAACACAATGACAATCAAAAATTTCAAATAACTAACCTTATATGTTTTTATCTCCTCCTCCAAAGCCTTTCTTTTCTTCTAAGATGATAAAAAATGGTAAAATAAAAAAAATAAATCAACAAGAAAAAACAACAAAATTTTCACCTCTGTCTCAGAATCCGCCATTGACCTCATCTATTTCGTAGTTGATTTCTCCGGCGAAGGTTCGTGGGTTCTCGTCGCGTGATTCTAGGTTCGTGGGTACGTCGGTGCTTAAGGTGGTAGACGGTGGTGGTCGTTGGGGTTTCATTGTCTCTGTGCACACCCATATTCCTTCTCCTCCTCCTCTCTCTACTTTAAATATTTGAATTTTATAAGACTTCAAAATATATTCAAGGCTTCAAAAATGAAATAGGGCACAATTGTCATTTTAACTCAAGTAAAAATAGTCTGGTCCCACTTTTGTTGACATAACAATACTAATTGTGAAAGTACACAAAAATAATGCTAAAAATAATAATAATTTATTCAAAAATACTATTATTGAAATTTACCCTAAAAAATATTACACACACACACATCACGCTAGCTAATCTAGTCCAGCTTGTGGGGACACTACTTTAGTGCCCAGTGACTAGTATTGCGTACGAAGATTCGGGTTCAAACAAGCCTTTCAAATATTTATTAGAAAAAGTTGAGAACTATTAATTAAGTTTCATTAAGAACTACAATCTAATATGGCCTAAAAAAAGAGAAATATAGAAAAACCTAAACTTTAATTGTAATAAGATAAACTAAAGCAATAATTTATATGGATTAGAAAATAAAAAATAGAGAAAACCCTAGCTATAGCAAGCTTTGGTTGTAATAATAAGGACTAAAAACGAAAATAGAGAAAAAAAAAAAAAACATCTAAGCTTTGGTTGTAACCGGTCCCATTGGCATTGATGTGTATGGTTTTGGTGGAAGTTGCTGAAAAAAAAAAAAAAGAGAACAACAATAGAAAGAAGAAGTGGTTGCATTTGATTCTTCCGATTTTGATAGAGAGATAAGGGAGGCTTACCTCATTAGACAACCCAAAAGTCTTCCCACTAAAGTTGTTTCCTTCCAAAGGCACCATTGCCTTTAATGATTTCGTTAAAAAGATATATTCCAGAAGTTTTGAGGGCACCAACTAGAAAGCAATGACCCCTTGTGATTGAGAAAGGCTACCGTTGTCCTACCGGGGAAAACAAAGGGAAAAAAATCATAAAAATAAAAAACGTATAGTTTGTTTGGCACGAGAGAAAAGTGAAATGAGTAATAGGGATAGAAAAATTAATAAAATGATTTTTAGGATTTATGGTTGTGTGGTAGGAATGATTAGAAGAGGGAATCAAGAGATTAGGCGAGAGATTTAAAATCTTCCGCAAGAGTTTAATTTTGATCTAAGTAGACGAGAGAATATATATCAATCAGAATAATGAAAAGAAAGATTCTTTTCTCCCTTCTTTTTTATTTTTCTTTCCTAGGTTATATACTTTAATTTCCTTCCTATTTTTTCTTCCACTGCCGACCATAGGTTTAGGGAAAAAATTGGAAAATTTTATTTTATTTTTCTTTCCTAGGTTATATACTTTAATTTCCTTCCTATTTTTTTCTTCCACTGCCGACCATAGGTTTAGGGAAAAAATTGGAAAATTTTATATATATATATGAGTATATTATTGGTTGTTTTTATGATACTATGTCAAACATGTAAAATGCATGCATGATACGGCTAACGGCAAATTACTTTTCTTTCCAATTTGAAGGGACAAAAAAAACATTGTAAAAGACGCTAATAAATATAATACTTAAATGCTGATCAGCAAAACAATAACAATTGTAGTAGCTATTGACGAGACAAGTATACTAGAGAAGATTAAAATAGGCATGCAAATACAAGAGAATCTATCGTCACTATTTCAACTACTTATCTTGGATAATACATGATAAAGAATCATATGATGACTAAGAGCAGGCCGACAAAATCCTTGTGCAAGTCCTTGGATTTCTTAATAAAGTGGAACACAAAAGAACTTACCACTGGTATTGACCAGAGTTCTATAAATCATGGCCTCTCTATTGAGCTATAAATAGTTATCAATCTTATCTATAACACAAGACGTTGTTGTGATGAAATTTGATGAATATATAGTATCATTTCAAGCCTAATTTTACTTGACGTATTATTTGATAGGGCCTAGGTTCTTAAAATTGCATTATTGGTCGCCATACCATTGAAAAAGACTGCCTAATATGAACACCTTTTATTTTGGCCGCAACCAACAGATTTTATTAATGATTTTTTTTTTTTTTTTTTTTTTTTTTTGGTGTATGTAAGAGACTTTATTTATGTATTGGCTCGTTCACCGACTAGACATTTTGGTATCTGATGATTCCAGTTGATGTTAGATGTCTTAATCAAATAAACAGTCATATATACTATTTCATATATCGTCAAACAATAATATCCTAAAAGCCATATATATGCAATATCACCGTTCTTTCGTTGGAATGAATTTATTATGATTTGATTTGTAATAATTACATGCGCTGGGGATTCTATCTGAACTGATGGAAATGGTTGGTGGCTGAGATCATTCCAAGCTAGAAAATTTGGTTATGGCTAATAAAGATCCCATTGAAGAGCTCAGACTCTCATCCAATTTAAGTACTTAAACTGGGCTTCCTTGGTGTACACGCATCTTCTTATATTACAAGAAACCATTTCAATATCAACAATTCACAGAGAGAAAAAAAAATACAAACAAATCAAACAAACAATTTTTTTGGCTAAAGAGACAGAAAATTCAATTGGATCATGGATGCATGTGTAAAGGATTGCTATTAATTTCCGTATATGATATTGGGTTTTCTGCAAATAAGAAACTATTTGATCAAAGGTAAGGTCGTCAAAGGAGGGCAATATCTAAGTTTGGGACATCAAACATACACATTATGGTACTCCAATTCAGTGGTTACACAAGTCAAGGATATCGTCTTCCTCTTTCATTAAATAAATATTTAAAGGAGCCACAAAACCCAATTACGAGGTAAGATTTTTAATGCTATTTATTTAAAATATTCTAAAATCTACTACAATATTTAAAAGTAAATATTATCGATAGAAATATCATATTTAAAAAAAAAAAATCTCTATATCTCGTACATTAGCCAGAAAGCAATTAGGACGCAAATGGGACCCACTGGAAGAGCATTTGCTACTTGCTAGCTTCTCTAATACGTAATTTAGGTTAACATTGCATGTTAATGTAATAGTTTGCGGAGTGGTCAAAAGTTCAAGAAACTTTCGAAATTCACTGCAAAAATTGTCAAAAAGCACGTCGCCAATCATGCGAAGTATGCCAACATATTAAAGATTAGTTGTTGATTCTAATGATTAATTACAGACGTAAAAGATGGACAATTGTTATCACAGCACGTTAAGTTTGTTCGTTTTGCATATCAGTTACATTTTTTTTTTCTCTGGAGCATATCAGTTACATGTTAATAACAATTGTACTTTATTTTTTTTTGCTAGTCGAAAAGGAGATCTGTAACAATTAATTGTACGTTGATTGTGGATTTTCCCCCTAACCACGATTTGTAATAATTAGCAAGCTGTTTCTTAATTGAAATCTTGCCTACATAGTTTGAGTATGTTTCTTCTTGAACCATATCATAATTTTGGTTAATGAATTTAAAATTTATATCTACCTTTTAACTAACTCTCCCATTGAGATCCTTTTTCTCAAATGCGCCCAAAGGTATTCTTCAAGATCTGGTATTTTTATATGTCACACTTTAAATATATTCTTGTCTCTTTTTTCTTTTTTTTTTTCTCACTTTTAATATGTCCATATGCTTTCTTGTTTCGTCCCTTTTTTTATTTTTCAGAAATCTTGTATTGTTAAATGTTTCTAATTAAAACATTTTGGTCTACTTTTACATTTTTCACGTAGTCCAATTAATATTATTTTGGCAAATACGATCCTAATAAAACTTTTTCGTAATTGCCTCAATAAAATAGTTTTTTTTTTTTTTTTTTTTTTTTCAAGTGCTACGTTCAAAACGAAGTTTTGATTTTCATATATAATGAATACTCTTGGATTGAGTAAGTGATGCAGTGCATTTTAGATTCTTTGTCATTTTTCTACTACTTTATCGTTTGTTTATGTTATGTAACGCCCACTGGTTGTCGTTGGGTATGTGTTGTTTTCCTTTCCTTTAAACGCCTGGTCGTTTTGGCTAAGGCTAGGTATTTTTGGTCTATTGCTCGTACGGAACAGGCAGTCAGAATTGTAATCCTCCCATTTTGGTGAAAAAAACTTTCAGAGCTGAGCTCTTGCGATTGGGTTCTATACTTCTAGAATTCCCACTCGATTCTTTTCTTAGATCTTCCTTCATCAGAAGTGGTATCAGAGCTTGGGTTTGCCTTGGCCAGATGGCAGCAAACGACAAAGGAGATCGCCACGCCGACGGCGATGAACGCGGTGTGCAGGCCCTTTGGGCGGCCGTCACCAATCTCGAGCGGAGGATGAACACTCGAATCGACGCTACAGTCAAGGAGATTCGTCAGTCCATCGCTGCTATTGGTCATGGCGATAGACAAAATCCGATGGCTAGAGGAGTCCGTGAGCGAGATGTAGCTCGAGCACGACCTGACGGACCTCGGTGAGGGGCAGATCCGATGCAGCTGGAGGTGTCAGACCTGTCCGATTCTGATGACGACCAACCCATTGCGAGAAGGAGGCAACCAACCGACTCAGACACAGAGGAGGACGTCCCCGTTTGGAATAACAACCTGAGGTACGTACCGAACCGTAGAATGCATAGACCATGTGAATCCCAAGAGTACAAGATTAAGATCGATATTCCATTCTTTAATAGGCATATGCATATTGAGGATTTCCTGGATTGGGTGCAATCTTTGGAATAACAACCTGAGGTACGTACCGAACCGTAGAATGCATAGACCACGTGAATCCCAAGAGTACAAGATTAAGATCGATATTCCATTCTTTAATAGGCATATGCATATTGAGGATTTCCTGGATTGGGTGCAATTTGTGGAGAATTTTTTTGATTGTATGAATATAGCAGAGGAGAAAAAGGTTAAGTTAGTGGCTTACAAATTGAAGGGTGGAGCCTCTGCCTGGTGGGAGCAATTACAACAGAACCGTCACCGCGAAGGAAAACGACCTGTGCAGACCTGGCCAAAGATGAAGCAACAGTTGAGAGCCCGGTTCTTACCCACTGACTATGAACAGCTCCTATACCAACAGTACTAAAATTGTAAGCAACAGGGTCGCACTGTTAGTGAATACACGGAAGAGTTTTACCGTTTGAATGCTCGGAACAATCTGCATGAATCTAAGTCTCACTAAGTGGCCCGATACTTGGGAGGACTCCGTGACTAATTTCAAGATCAGCTAGTGCTACGGACAATTTGGACCTTAAGTGAGGCTGTGAACCTAGCCTACAAGGTGGAAGGGCAGTTGCAACGTCCTTCCCTCCGTGCACCGTATCCCCGCAACAATGACTCCACATCCAGGAACACTTCCAGCGTCACAGGCGCACGTAGCCCGCAAGTCAGCAAGCCTACCCCAAATGCTCCTGAAGCCTCTCGAGCAACCGAAAAGCTGCCTTCAATCCAAAACAAACCCAACCCGTATGCTCAACCATTCTTAGGTAGGTGTCTTCGTTGCCGATACTTGGGTGGACTTCGTGACCAATTTCAAGATCAGCTAGTGCTACGGACAATTTGGACCTTGAGTGAGGCTGTGAACCTAGCCTACAAGGTGGAAGGGCAGTTGCAACGTCCTTCCCTCCGTGCACCGTATCCCTGCAACAATGACTCCACATCCAGGAACACTTCCAGCGTCATAGGCGCACGTAGCCCGCAAGTCAGCAAGCCTACCCCGGATGCTCCTGAAGCCTCTCGAGCAGCCGAAAAACTGCCTTCAATCCAAAACAAACCCAACCCGTGTGCTCGACCATTCTTAGGTAGGTGTCTTCGTTGTAACCAACCTGGGCATAAGTCTAATGAATGCCCACAACATCGTCAGGTGAATTTGGTTGGTGATGGTGGGGAAGAGGACTATGATGCATGTGGGGTGGAAGAAGGGGAACGGGATGAAACTGAATTAGTTGAACGGGGTGAAGGTGAGCGAGTCTCCTACGTTATTCAGAAGTTGCTATTAGCACCTCGGCAAGTCACCCCGACTCAACGCCATGCCATTTTCAAAACTCGGTGCACCGTGAATGACAAGGTGTGCGACGTCATTATAGACAGCGGAAGTACAGAGAATTTAGTGTCCAAGGCACTTGTTAAAACGCTGAACTTGGCCACCCAAAAACACCCCACCCTTATAAAATCGGCTGGATAACAAAAGGGGCTGAATCTAGCATCTCAGAGATTTGTATGGTGAGTTTTTCTATAGGGAAACACTACAAAGATGAGGTGAGCTGCGATGTTGTTGATATGGACGCATGCCATGTTTTACTCGGCAGACCTTGGCAGTTTGATCGCTCCGTTCAACATAAGGGGCGTGAGAATGTGTACCAGTTCTTGTGGCACGGCCGGAAAATTGGACTACTGCCCCTCACTACCCATGGCAGTTCTTCATCCGAACTACCTTCCACACCAGGTTTACTATTAACGCTGCCCGGTAAACAATTCCAGCGCGAGATTGTTGATCAACCCTTCCTTGTTGCTCTCATGATCAAGGAGCAAAACCTTGAAGTAAATCCACCTCCTCCAGTCGTGCAACAACTCCTTAGTCAATTCCCAGACCTGACTTCACAAGAACTTTCATATCAACTACCCCCGTTGCGGTATGTTCAACACCGCATTGATTTCGTTCCAGGAGCTAGTCTACCCAATCTTCCACATTACAAGATGTGTCCGTGTGAACATGATATTTTGCAGCAGCAGGTGGATGAGCTTCTCCGGAAAAAATTGATTCGCATCATTCTAAGTCCTTCTAATGTGCCTGTCATACTAGTACCAAAGAAAGATGGCACTTGGTGTATGTGTGTCGATAGTCGAGCAATCAACAAGATAACGGTTAAATACCATTTCCCCATCCCTCGCTTGGAAGATTTGTTGGATAAGTTGGAGGGTGCTTCGATTTTCTCCAAACTAGACCTTCGAAGTGGCTACCACCAAATTCGGATTCAAGAGGGCGACGAGTGGAAAACAGCCTTCAAGACTCGTGAAGGTCTCTATGAATGGCTTGTTATGCCTTTTAGGCTTAGCAATGCCCCGAGTACCTTTATGCGCCTTATGAACGAGGTGCTCCGCCCTTTTATTGGACGGTTTGTTGTCGTTTACTTCGATGACATCTTAGTTTTTAGCCGGAGCTCCGAAGATCACCTTGACCACCTTCACCAAGTTCTAGCCACTTTGCAAGATCACAAACTATATTTGAATTTGAAGAAGTGTGTTTTCTTGCAAAGCCAGCTAGTCTTCCTTGGGTTCCTTATCAGTACGGACGACATAAGCATGGATGAAGCTAAGTTAGCCATAATTCGCGATTGGCCAGCGCCCAAAACGGTTCATAAGGTCTGAAGCTTTCATGGCCTCACCACTTTCTACCGCCGTTTTATCAAGAATTTCAGTTCGATTATGGCCCTATTAACTGATTGCCAAAAGAAAGGAAACTTCCAGTGGACTACTGCTCAACAAGAAAGCTTCACACTCATAAAGTCTAAGCTTACCTCCGCCCTTGTACTGGCATTACCGAACTTCGATAAGGTCTTTGAGGTTGAAACCGACGCGTCCATGACTGGTATTGGTGTTGTCCTCATCCAGGACGGTCGTCCCTTGGAATTTTTTAGCGAAAAATTTACTGACGTCCGGCAACAGTGGTCGACTTATGAGCAAGAACTCTATGCGATGGTGAGATCTCTCCAACATTGGGAGCACTTTTTACTACATAAAGAGTTTATTTTACATTGTGACCATCACGCTCTTAAGTTTGTGAACTCGCAGAAAAATCTCAGTCGCATGCATGCACGCTGGGTTCTCTCTTTACAGAAGTTTTCCTTTGTGTTTCGCCATCGAGCTGGGATTCAAAACAAAGTCGATGATGCTCTCAGTCGTCGGGTTTGCCTTCTTACTGCCTTCAAGACTAAGATTATTGGTTTTGACCATCTTAAAGAACTTTATGAAGCGGATGAAGATTTCCACTCTCACTGGCTTAAGTGCCAAAACCGAGACCCCAATGGAGATTTCCACATACAGCAGGGATTTTTATTCAAAGGCAATCAGTTATGTCTTCATCGCTCCTCTCTTCATGAAAAGTTGATCAAGAAAGTTCACGCCAATGGCCTAGCTGGCCATACCGGTCGGGACAAGACCATTGCTGAACTAGAACAGCGTTTTTATTGGCCCCACTTGAGGCGTGATGTCACGAAGTTCATGCAACATTGTGGAATCTGTCAACGTGCCAAAGGCCAAGCTAAGAACACCGTCCTTTATTCCCCACTGCCGATTCCTGAATCCATTTAGGAAGACCTCTCGATGGACTTTGTGTTAGGCCTCCCGCGCACTCAACGCCATGTCGATTCTGTTTTTGTGGTTGTTGATAGATTTAGCAAAATGGCTCATTTTATTCCTTGTCGAAAGACGGCAGACACTAGTCATGTAGCCACTTTGTTTTTCAAGGAGGTCGTCCGTCTTCATGGCATTCCCAAGTCCATTACTTCTGATAGGGATGTGAAGTTTGTGAGCCATTTTTGGAAGGTTCTGTGGAAACGCCTCAACACCACACTTCAATTCAGTAGTTCTTACCACCCCCAAACTGATGGCCAAACTAAAGTTGTTAACCGCACCTTGGGCAACATGATTCGCTGTATTGCTGGAGATACGCCAAAGCAATGGGACTCTGCTCGTCCCCAGGCAGAATTTGCTTACAACAGTATGGTTAATCGCTCCACGGGTCGCTCACCATTTTCTGTTGTCTACACCAAGGTCCCAAACCAATCTATGGACCTCGTTGCGTTACCCAAACCCCGGAGCCGCACTGCTGCAGAATTGGCTGATTTCGTCATCCACACGCATCAAGAGGTCAAGCACCGTTTGGAATCTGCCAATGCCGCATACAAGCAAGCTGCTGATCTCCATCGTCGCGAGCAAATTTTCAACATCGGTGATCTCGTCATGGCTCACTTGAGGAAGAACCGTTTACCCCCTGGTGCTTGTCCAAAGTTACATGATCGCCGCATTGGTCCTTTTCGTATCACCCACCGCATCAATGACAATGCGTAGGTTCTTGACTTACCGGCTGATCTGCACATTTCATCCACCTTCAATGTGAGTGATCTTTTTACTTTTCATCCACCGGATGCAGCTCCAATTGAAACTGAGAACTCGGGGTCGAGTTCTTCTCTGGCGGGGAACAACTGATGCAGTGCATTTTAGCTTCTTTGTCGTTTTTCTACTACTTTATCGTTTGTTTATGTTATGTAACGCCCACTGGTTGTCATTGGGTATGTGTTGTTTTCCTTTCCTTTAAACGCCTGGTCGTTTTGGCTAAAGCTAGGTATTTTTGGTCTGCTGCTCGTACAGAACAGGTAGTCAGAATTGTAATCCTCTCATTTTGGTGAAAGAAACTTTCATAGCTGAGCTCTTGCGATTGGGTTCTCTACTTCTAGAATTCCCACTCGATTCTTTTCTTAGATCTTCCTTCGTCAGTAAGCCTTGGTAGATAGAGTTGAAGTGCTTTAGCTCATTTTCTTTCGGTTTGGAAGTGCTTATAATTATTTGGCGACTGAATCAAGACCCACACCTTTTTTATTTCATATATCGAAGAGAAGATGTGTTTGTTTCTTCAACTTTTTTTTTTCATATTACATAACATAAACTTGTTCATTTTTTTCCACCCTTATTTTATATATGTCAAATTTCATAACTTTGTAATAAGTAATATACTAATACTTTAAAAAGTTTATGATATTATTGTTTAATTTGAACAACAATTGTTAGTTGATTATATTTATTCATGTTTGCATCTTAATACTTTCAAGAAGCTGCAAAAGATATATATAAGATAAAAAATAAAAAAAATTATTTTTTACACTAATGGGGACCTGCCTACCTGTCCCTCACACTAGTAGTTTTAAGGTCATAGCATGGCCCTTCAGTACACATTTGTCTACTTTTTTCTGTAAGATTTTATGCAGTTATAATTATGCCCCTCAACACAAGAAGGAATATATGGAATAATAATCAAGTAGGCAAACATCAAAGTCATAAAACCCATATATGGGTCAAAAAGCAAAAGTCTTGAACATTGTCAATAACATAAAACAACTTTTCGAAAATAATTAAGATGATTATATATAGTGCCATAAGCTAACAATATGAGCAATGATGGAACTCAAGAAAATGTTATAGATGCATATATGTAAAACCGGATTCTCTTGCATGAACCAGATCACTACTATATATGTGGTCTCCCATTAGTGTTTTTTTTTTTTCTGTTAAAACTTATTTTCAGAATACTATGGAGAACAACACAAATTATGGTTATTGATTCTCTGACAATTTTTGTTCTTTGTCAATATTCTTTCCCTGGAAAAATAAGAAGAATCAAATTCGATTATCATTTTCAAATAAAACAGAAAGGAAAAGATACGTAAACCTTTTCTTTTTTTTTTTATCGGCAAAAGACACGTAAACAATGGCGTGCATATTAAACTTTCCAGCATATAAATAATTTGTAAGTACAGAATATAGACAATAAAAAGACAGAATTTCTTTCAAGCCATTCTGCAGAATATTGAAGTTAAGTCACAAGCAAATCATATGATTCAGCATTGCAACAAAAAGAAGCCAGCTCTTTGTTTTATATACTTTCATTTCTTAAAAAATTAAGGGAGAAAGAGGAAAATAGGCCAAGATTTGAGATGAATTAAAATTAATAGGCCAATAGTTACATAAGTTAATAAATATGCCAAATTATTGTTTTTGTCCATAACTTGTCTTGTTATGAACCATAACTTGATAAGTTATTATCCATAATTCACGAATTTTATCCATAACTTGTCTGGTTATGAACCATAACTTAAAAAATTTATTCATAAATTATCTAATTATGAACCATAACTTAATAAATTATTACCTATTAATTTATATAATTAAAAATTAACCTATATACTTTTTTAAACTTTTCATATTTACGTATTTTCTACTATTTTTAAAAAATTAATGCAATTCTGAAAGGCCCATACTAATGCAGCCGACAAAATTCAGCAACACTTTCTTTGGAGACATCAACAAAGAGTACGTAAGTAATTGATTTATCAGATTCTTGTTTTTATATGTAATGGAGGTTTTTGAGTTACCAGTATACGTTAATGCTTGAGCTTTTTTTTTTCTTTAAATGTATTAGGGGTGTAAATTGGGCCCGAAAGCCCAAAATCCGACGGGTTTGCCCCAAAAAAGGCCGATTCAAACAAGGCTCGAACCCAAAGCCTAAACACCTCAAGAATAAATTAAAAAGAAAATATATACATATGTAAAATAAAGGCCGTATTTGGAATTGATCCCGTGTTTGGAATTGATCCCATTTTTATTTTTTACTTTTTTCAAGAAAAAAATGAAAATATTTTTAAAACGGCGTTTGGCGCAATAAAGACAAAAAACGGAAATGAAAACGATTTTTTAGTTTAGTGTAAAATGAGAGAAATGAAAAACGACTTTTAGTCGTTTTTCATTTTTTGTTTTCATTTTTTCCTCTCTCGATCAGAGAAAAAGAGACAGAGACATTAATGAGTTTTTTTTATACTAAAAACAATCTATTGATAAAATTACCAAACTCATTTTCAAAAATGATTTATGTCTGAGATTGAAAACGTTTTCATTTTCATACAAACAAATCATTTTGGAACGAGTTCCAAACGCGCCCAAAGTCTTTGGTTTTGACTTTTTTTTAAGGGTGACAATTCGTATTCGTGGGTTGTGTTCGTGTCAACCCGTTTATTAATCGTTTCAAAAAACATCAACTCAAACACAATCTGTTTATTAAACGTGTTAAAAATGTCAACCCAAACACGACTCATTTATTAATCGTGTTAATCGTGTCAACCCATATAACCTGTTTAAATTAATATATTGAATAAATAACTAATATAATAATGACTTATTTAACATGGTCAAGATAGGTTTAACATGTTTATTGGTCAATTTATCTTTTCCTTTAAGAAAACTAAATGAATTTTACCTATAAACTTTCATATTATATCACATATTATTATATTACAAATGACACATATAGTTAATCGTTTTAATTCGTGTCACTTCATGTTAGGAGGTCAACCTTAACCCAACCCATTAATTGTGTTAATCGTGTCAACCCGATTATGACCCAAACCCATTAATAGTAAACTCAAACCCGCTAACTTCGTGCGGATTTCGAGTCATGTCGCTACTCGAATTGCCAACCCTATTTTTTTAATCAAAAAAAGAGTTGGTTTCTTTCATTTTTTTTGTAAAAAGATTTTTTACTGACCTTTTTTTTTTTTTTTGGTAAAAAGCATAGAAACTAAACTCAACCTAAAAGGTGG